CCCCCCCCCCCCCTGTGATCCCCACTGCCCCGTTAAACCTCCCCTAAATCGCGGCCTGGCCCCCACCCTGGTGGGAACTCAGTGCCCAGCGCTGCGCCTGGCACTGCGGGGTGGTTGGCACCCAGGGGCTCCGGTGGGGGGGCAGGCAGGGGCAGGAGCCATGGGGCTAGCCTCCTCCAAGCGGGGGAAGGGGCTTGTGGGCCACCCACATTCTCCTTCACCCAGAGACCTCCGTGGGCAAAGCTCTGCAGTTTTCCCCTCTCCTTGGCGAGCTCCTCCCATCGATTCATCATCGATTAACCCTTCATGATCCCGGTGCCCTGTGGCGTGGGGGGGTTGGGGAATCTCCATCGCTGGAGATATGGAAGGGCAGCTTGGCCAGACACCTGTCAGGACTGATCTGGATGGCGCGTGGTCCTGCCGTGAGCGCCGGGGACTGGACCCGGTGCCCTCGCGAGGCCCCCTCCTGCTCTAGGGCCCTGTGGGTCTGTGCCCAGGCGGGAGCTGCGCGCGCGTTGGGCGGCACACTTACAGAACACGCTCAGCCCGACGACCTGGGACATCTCGCTCCCTTTGTCGTTGTGCGCCTTGCACGCGTAGTAGCCGGTGTCGCTGGCGGCCACCTGGTGAAACACCAGGGCGCGGGCCGTGCCTGCCTTGAGCCAGACGTTGTTCTTGTACCAGCTGTAGGTGAGGTCCTGGCTGTCGTCGCCGGGCACGTCGCAGCTCAGCGTGACCCTCTGGCCTTCCTGGGTCTCCGCAGAAGGAGTCACCGAGAGCACGGCAGCTGCAGGGGACGACAGCAGGGTGGGTTAACACTAGACGGGGCGGACAGTCTGACCGGCATTGCGTGGACCAACAGCACCGCCCGGCCACCCCCTCGCCCCCGCCAGAGTCACCCCACAATGTGACCGCCTTTGGGGCGCTAGATTGCTTTGCGCCACGGGCAGAGAACAGGGCGAGGTGCCCCAGTGCTCCAGACCCCTGCTGAGTCAGGGAACGGGGCACGTGGGACACACCCAGCTGAGCCTAGCCAACTTTCGGCACCCATGAGAGGGCAGCAGCCCGATTTGAAGGGCTACTGAGGGTCAAGCTTCTAGCCACGAATTGGACACCATCCGGATTCAAGAAGACAGTTATAAAGCTTTAAGAATATCAGAATGGCCAGGCTGGGTCAGACTAAAGGTCCATCTAGCTCAGTGTCCTGCCTGCTCATAGTGGCCAATGCCAGGTGCTCCAGAGGGAGTGACCAGAACAGGTATCCTCACATGATCCCTCTCCTGTCATCGATTTCCAGACAAACAGAGGCCAGGGACACCGTCCCTACCCATCCTGGCTAAGAGCCATTGATGGACCTAACCTCCATGAATATGTCCAGCTCTTTTTTGAGCCCTATTCAGGTCCTGGTGTTCACCACATCCTCTGGCAAGGAGTTCCACAGGTTGACTGCGCACTGCGTGAAGACACCATCCTCTCTGGGATGCAAGAGTAAATGGGGAGGAAGGCTGGGTTTGTGGTTAATCCACCTCATTGGGTCCTAGGAGATTTGGGACTCAGTTGTTCCTGCACTTCAGGCGTGCTTTGTTTGGGCAAGTCCTTTACTCGCTCCGTGCCTCAGTTTCCCCATGTGTGAAAGAGAACTAGCAATACTTCCTTCTCCCAAAGGATAGGTTCATTGGTGCTTGCGAGGCCCTCGGACATGAGGGTGATCAATCAAGCTGAGTATGAAACAGTTTTCCCATCTAACCAGAGGGTCGGGGGAAACCCCAGAGACATTAAAAACATGTTCCTGTCCAGAATTGGGACGAAAAGTCAAAATCTCAAATTTTTGTGAACAGGAGAAAAAATTGGTTTGGGTCAATGGCCTGTTTTGGGTTGATTTTGGCCTTTGCCCCTTAACTTTTTTAGTCAAAATGTATGAACATTTCTTTAAAAAAAAAAGTCATTTTCGGCTTTAAAATGGTAACACTCCAATGTCAACACGTCAACACTGGTCAGCATTACCATTTCAGAAATGTTTCCTGTGACATTTTTGAGTGGCGAGAGTCCTTCCAACTGACCCTGCTTTGCAAATGGTTTGGGTTTTGACAAATCCGCATTTTATTACCAAACAAACCCAACTCCACATTCCTCGCAAAGTTCCCAGCCAACTCTAGCGAAAACCACTGGGGTAGGCGGTCCGTTGCATTAGGGTGGAGAGAATTTTGCTGGTTTGTGACAACACCCGTCTCTGGCCATCCTGGCCTAGATGAGGGACTGGTTTTAGGCCTCTTTGCTGCACGTGGTCACCTTGAAACCACGTGGCGGGCAACCCACGGCCTGCGTCACGCCGCTCATCGAGCCGTTTTGCTGAGGTGGCGCTTCACCCGGCACAGCTCCCCGCAGTGTCCACTGACCGGGACCAGTGATTCGTGGCCAGTGAGAACCACAGGAAGCCAGGCCGGGTGGCCCCCAATCTCCCCCGGCCCACCGGTGGATTATCCCGAAGGGACCCGAGGCCCCCGTCTGCCATACTCACAGAAAACATACAGCACAACCGCTTCGGCCACTCCGGTCCCGACTGGGGTCTCCGCTTTCCGAG